TATTTGGAAACTGAAATTTCAATCTCTTTTCAATTCGTGGCATATTATATTTATAACTCTTTCATTTTTTCCTTTTCTATTTGAAATTAGTTGATAATGTCTCTTGATCGACATGACATCAACAGAACTCAACCGGCACTAACATAACAACATGGCTAGGGGTTGATAATGTCTCTTGATCGACATGACATCAACAGAACTCAACCGGCACTAACATAACAACATGGCTAGGGGTTGATAATGTCTCTTGATCGACATGACATCAACAGAACTCAACCGGCACTAACATAACAACATGGCTAGGGGTTGATAATGTCTCTTGATCGACATGACATCAACAGAACTCAACCGGCACTAACATAACAACATGGCTAGGGGTGTACAAACCGAATCGGAAAATCACACCAAATCGATTAAAAAATCCGATTATGTTTGGTTTGATTTGGTTTGGTATTGAGTAAAAAGCTCTGAACCAAACCGATATAAATATATAATTTTATATTTACTTTTAAAACTTTTTATAGAATTTTCTTTATGTCTATAAATATTTGCGATACTCTTATGGGATGTAATATTTAATTAAATATGAACTGCTCCATATTTATTAACTTTAAATAATAATGGGTTGTATGATCACTTTCTTATCAAGTGTTAGTAAAATGTATCAATCCTTTTGTTATTCCATATTCATATATCATGATCTATTAAATATCCTTTTCGAATTTAAAATGGTATTTCCATAATTTAAAATTAAAATAGAATATATCATTATATAGATTCATTTAATTAATAAATTTGGTTAACCTTGAAAGTGTACATTAGCGTTAAATTATTGTGATAAAAAAATAACTATCATGTATTAGTAAGAAAATTCTTCCATAAGAATCTTTAAATAGATCATATATTTGTCAGTTTTTTCAATTTTTACTAAACATATATTTACTTATAAAAATTTAACAAAGTAAGATTGAAATAATATTGATATAACAAAAATCCGAAAAATTCGAAAACTCGACAAAACCGAACCAATCCAAACCGATATAGTTGAATTTATTTGATTTTGATAAAAACCGAATCAATCCGGTCCATATATACCCCTAAGCATGGCTATGAAGTATATCAGAAATAACTTCATGCTAAGCTAATTAATTGAGTGTTTTTGTTTGACTATGCAACAATTGACACGTATTTATATTATATATTATATTAAAAGGAAAGTAGTGAAGCATGTAGTTAAGACAAGTGGCAAGCTAAAATGAAGCCACTTGACAATTTTAAGACAATATTAATAATTATAAATAATAAATGGAACATAATTAATGGAAGTAGTTGAATGAATCCTATACATAATCTAAATAAATCTACTTTTTTTCCTTCAAAGTGAGAAAATAAAGCAAGCATTAATTAGAGAAAAGAATATAATAAAATAGTATTAAACATAGGCAGAATTGATAGTTAATATAATATAGATTTTATATCATAGTAAAATATTCTATCTTCTATATTATTTCTTTAAGTACAATCTATGCAAAAGCTTTTTCCTTTTGAATAAACGTTCTTCAAAATTTTTAAATTAATACTTTGAATAAATATAAGTAGGAGAAAAAGGTATGAAATATTCTATTGGCATTGTCGTAAAAATGAAAGAAAAAATTTCTTTTTGAAACATGTGATAGACTAAAAGTCTAATAATAACTAAAAGAAAAATTCATTATGGCATAAAGATATATGATCATTGATATGTAAATCTATATAATTAAAGTCACAAAAATCATACCAATTTTACAAGTCTTTTATCACACAAATAAAGAAAAGATTAGGTAAAATTTTGATTTACCTTTAATTTTAAACTTAAATAAATTTAGATTTTGATTTACGGATGTCGATGCACCGGAATAAGGAGATCATAAATAAAGATATTTGGACTACCGATTGACTTTAATGAAGTTCAGCATAATTATCATTTTTTTTCAATAGTATTATTTATTCTAATCCATATTTAGAAAATTAATTAATTATCCTCATTATTACTGGAAGAAGTTTGAAATAGATGAAGTGTTCTATGTTTTTCTATATGAAACTTAAATACCACATCATGCTTAGTAATCGGTTGAATCATATGAGTCCACTATTATGTAAACTAGCAAAAGCATTTTAATGTCGGCCAACAAAGAAAATAAGTTATACAAAAGAAGTATTGGTTGTAGTCTGGATATCGTTTATTATGGAAAAATATATTTTTGTTCCTTAAAATAGTTTTGAGGCTCTTTTTTATGGTTAAACATAATTATATCATATTGGATGGTTAAGATTGTTGGACTGTATTCCTTAAATAGCTTTTCAAAGTAATAATCTTAAATCGTATTTTAATCATATATGTAAGCGAGATGATGATAATAATGTATTGGGTGACAAAAATTAAAGAACTTAAACCGAGTGTGTCATATATATTATTTGCTTAAAGAAGGTTTCATAAGAAGTAAGTTTTTCCATTTGAAGCTGTAGACAATAAAGCGCTAAATATTATTTTACATATTATATCATACAGATTTTAAAACCAAACATGAGTGGATTTTCTTCTAAATGGTTCCTGAATGTGTGTAGAGCGAAAAATTTACCATTAAAATGCATATATTTTTAGAGACTTCCAAAACTTTAAAAATAAGAATTATTTAAATATGTATGTCAGCCGCTATATTGAAAGCTATTAATCCTAATTTACATGTTTGGCATATTCGTTGCAGTCATATGAGTAGTAGAGAAACATATTGTCATGAAAAGAAGAAAAGTGAAAGTCCCTACCAAAGTCTCGACGCCCGTACACGACTAGAAAATAAAATCTCTTTGATCTTAATTAATAAAAAAAAAGTTGAGGTTAATTGAGTTATGTTAGATTGCAATATGGCGCATGGTTAGAACTTAGAAGAATGCTTTGCTTAACTAAAGTTACAAAATGATTGATTTTACAATTAGAAGCGAACATAAATAAATGTGTTATTTTAAATACAATTGAATTTATAAATGCTTGATTATGCAACTTAATTGAAATAATAGATTTAATGTATTCAAACAAATAAAATAATTTATTATAATTAATTTTATTTAATAGTTACCGGGTTTTAATATTAGTACTATATTAAAGCGAACTTCGACGAAATTTCTTCACTGGCTTTCGGTGTTTTAGACTATTTATATGATCTAAGCGATGAGGAATATTTTCCTAGAATACTGGCATGTTCGTAAACTCCAAATAAAATGTTCTTGAAACTATACGTACTACGGCTCATTTTAAATGTATAATGACTATTTATTTTGAGCTAAATTCCAAAATATTATACTGTCTGAATTCTTATATACTTTCTTCTTTATTATTTTTTTGTCGCTCAGCTTACTTCTTATTCCTAATCTGAATGGCTGAATCCATTACGAAATTAACGAAAATGGACCAACACATATATGAATAGGCAATTCATGCTTAAATTTACGCCACTCATCCTCAAGAAATCCTCCAAGAAGAATGTAAATAGTGGGAGAACCACATTTTTGAATAGGCTCGCCTTTACCCCAAAAACAAATGAAGCTTTATGCTAGTTGAAAAGACTCGTTAAAAAGGAATGATATATTTATGTATGTGAAAACAATTAACTCTATGTTTTTCATTTTACTATTAATAAAAAGCTTTTATATATACCATACAAATGCAATGTCATATTTAAACACACAAATTTTAAAAGCCTTATAGAAACACAACTATGACATGATTAAGATCAAAAGTTTCTAATGTAATTATTTCCTTCTTTAACTTTGTGCTAAGTCAAACTAAGTAATTTTTTATGTGCTATCCAGATTAATGAATTAAATCCTCTTTCAAAATGTATTTTACGGAGTACTCAATCCAATTATCTATCTAAGTAGATGTTAATTGTCAAGCAATTATGTGGCGAGACTGCTATTTTTCGCGTAATCAAACATTGACTTACGACTGATTCACAGTATATATGCATTTAATTAAACTAACAACATATTTGCATCAGCCATACGATATATCATTGCAAGTTATTTGTTGATTTGTCAACTGCTCCAATGCACATATATGCATTTTAAATGATATTTTTAGTTCATTATTGGCTTATATTACTATATATTTCGGAGAGCATTTAAGGGCTGATGATCTCACATTATTGTCCAGTTCTACTCAACCATATCACAGAGGCAAATACCACGATACAAGATACTGTATGGAAAATAAAAGAAATGAATAACGAATGGCTGAGAAAGACGTGTAACAATGTACCTAGAAAATTATGACTTTTACCATGATGAGAATTTGAGATTTTTTAGAAGAAATGGTTACTTTAATTTTTAGATGAGAGACAGAAAAGTGTCTGGTTTTCCTTTTCAGTAGGTTTTAAACTTTTTGTTTTATATATTAACTAACCCCACATAGGCATACAATTACTCTTTTCAGACAGTGATCTAATCACGCCCTGAGCCTTCTTCATCTTTTGGTTTACTATTTCCGTATTTCTCTTCTCCTTTCCTACTTTCCCCATCAAATTTTGCTAACATTTTACTCTATATAGCAATATATAGCGTTTCGTGGTTCAGAGAGATAAAGTTGATTTATAGTAAATTTGAAGTGTCTTCCACGTCACAATGCACTAGGAGGTTCACTGATTCGATAAAGTTGACTTATTTTTCTGTTTATAAAACAAAATGTTAATCAAGTTCTGAGGCACTTATTAATTAATGATGCATAAAAAAGCGAGCAGACAATCATTAAGAAATCTGGCTTATTAGTTCCCTGAGTAACTACGTGTTTCGACCATAAATTTTAATTGGGGTTGTTTAAACATTATTGAATGGATTAAATCATTAAATAATCATTAGTGTCTCAACAGCTCGATTTCAAAAATGCACTAGTATATATATGTAGATTAATCCATCTCATCATTCTTTTTATTATAAATAAATAAAAAAAAAATTCTTATCCACAGGTTGCAATTTCCACCTGTGCTTCCTCTCCCTCCTTATATAAGTTTCAGTAGTTCTGATCCAAAATCCAGTCTTTTGTAAACGTCCTCCGTTTTTAACTTTAGTATCAGAAAATTCGTCAAATTAATTAACACAAAATGGCAGCAAATGATGTGCCATGCTGTGAAACCATGTTTTGGGTATACTTAGTAATCAGTGTGTCACTTGTGTGTTTTGCTGGACTTATGTCTGGACTAACACTAGGACTCATGTCCCTTAGCCTTATGGATCTTGAAGTCCTCATTAAGGCTGGTCAGCCAAATGATCGCAAAAACGCAGGTAATTATTTATTCCCTGTTTGGATTCAATATTTTTTTTGTTTTTGTCACATGAGTACTTACTACTCTATTTCTAACTGATCATAGAGAAAATTCTTCCCATCGTAAAGAATCAGCACTTGCTCCTTTGTACCCTTCTAATATGTAACGCCATGGCTATGGAGGTATGTTTCTAGCAGTCGCGTGTTCATTGGCTCAGCGGAATCTAGCGTTTGTGTAAAAAATCAATATATATATATATATATATATTTCAGAACATGCTCTCTCAACTTAGAACTCACATCGTTTAAATTGTGGATCGACCACTGGTTTCTAGTGATATTCCACCCATTATCCTTCATTTAGTGCCATTTTTTGAGCTGATATATGCTTAATGTTTTCATCAAACTGCAGGCTCTTCCAATATTTCTAGATGCTCTACTTCCTGCATGGGGTGCTATACTAATATCAGTCACCCTTATTCTAGCCTTTGGAGAGGTCTTTTTTTAAGAGTTCATTTTTAGTTACTGTATTACTAGGACAGAGATCAGAGTTTGTTTCTTTAAATGGACTAATTCAATTTCAATTTTCTCCCTGCCACACAGATTATTCCTCAGGCAGTCTGTTCTCGCTATGGACTGAGCATTGGTGCAAGATTGTCACCTTTGGTTCGTTTGCTTGTCATAATTGTCTTCCCTTTATCTTATCCCATCAGTAAGGTAAAGTCTTATCTTCTTTGTAATCCTAGAGAAATTAAGCCCTAATCCCCAGATTAATATTAAAATAGTAATGAAAAGGGCATAGTTTTAGTCAACTAATTAATTATTTCTGTTCACTTGGTTTCATCAGTTGTTGGATCGACTCCTGGGTAAAGGGCACTCAGCACTTTTACGCCGTGCTGAGCTGAAGACCTTAGTGAATATGCATGGTAATGAGGTTAGTGCTTTGTGCCTTATCTTTGCTTGATTCAGCCGAATTATGTAAACATATGCAACAACAAAAAAAGAATACATATAATAAAATCATACTCTTTTTGAACTGGTCACTAACTTAGTGATATGGTGTCCATCTCATTCAAATTATTTGGTAGCCAATTTTGTTGACTTGGTTTGGTTTGGTAGCCAATCTTGTTGAAATTGTGAAAAGGGTGTGTAAATTGTTAAATATTGTAGGCTTTAGAGAGTGAGGTTTTGGCTATAAAAGAAGAGTCTTAACTCTCATTTCGACACACCAACAAAGAGAGAAAAGAGAGAGAGCAAGGTATTTCATAAACTATAAGAAAATAGTTTGTGAAGAAAAATAGAGTGTGAGAGATATTGTAGTGAGGTGAAAAAAAACAAAAGAGTGTTTATTTCTTTTGAGGGTGTAGTGGTCTTAGGAGTATTTGTACTCGTTACTACACAGTGTAAAATTTCTTGCTATAGTGATATCAGTTGCTCTTCTTGGGTGTGGTTTTTCCCTTATTCAGAAGGGTTTCCACGTAATATCTTGGTGTCATTATTGCTGCATTTCTATTCTTGTTGATTTAACCATAACTTAGTGTTCCGCATTTATCACTAATACCGTGAATATTATTTTTACGGGGTTTGTTCCCAACAAGTGGTATCAGAGCCAAGGTTGTGTCTGAGTATACTCTATGGTTGCAGCACAGTCTGAACTTCCACATCAGAAAAGAATTACTTTGGTCTCTTAATAAATAGTATTTGTATTTGTGATAAACGATGGAAGCCAACACTAGTAGAATGATTACTTTAAATGGCACAAATTATGCCATTTGGAAGGGCAAAATGGAAGATTTGCTCTATGTCAAGAATTTTCATCAACCTGTCTTTACCACTATAAAGCCTGATAATAAATCAGATGAAGAGTGGAATTTATTACATAGGCAGGTTTGCGGCTTTATTAGACAGTGGATTGACGATAATGTTTTGAACCATATTTCTAGGGATCATGAACCAGTTATCTGCTATGGGCATTAAATTTGATAAAGAAATTCAAGGCCTGTTTCTACTTGGTTCCCTACCAGATTCTTGGGAAATTCTTAGAACTTCATTATCAAATTCTGCTCCGGATGGTGTGATCTCTATGGATCTTGCCAAGAGCAGCCTTTTAAATGAAGAGATGAGAAGAAAATCTCAGGGTTCCTCCTCATCAGATGTCTTGGTGACTGACTCTAGGGGAGAAGCAAGAATCGGGGTTCTCAAAATAGAGAACATAATAGAAGCAAATCCAGAAGCAGACTTAAAGATATAGAGTGCTATCATTGCGGGAAGAAAGGGCACACAAAGAAGTTATGCCGGATTTTAAAAAAGGAGAATAGAGATAAGGAAGAATAGAAAGAAGATGGCAATCGTGTGGCCACCGTCACTACAAAAGATCTTGTTACCGTCCTTGATGCAGATCTGATAAATATTGCTTGTGATGAGTCAATCTGGGTTGTGGACAGTGGTGCCACATCTCATGTGACATCAAGGGANTTTTCTCATCATATACTCAGGGTGACTTTGGAACTCTGAGTATGGGTAATGAGACTGTATCTAGGGTGGCTGGTGTTGGAACGATTTGTTTGGAAACTAGTATTGGAACTAAACTAGTTTTAAACAATGTAAAGCATGCACCTGATGTTCGTTTGCATTTGATCTCTGTTGGTGTTTTGTATGATGAGGGATATGTCAGTACCAATGGTGCTGGAAAGTGGAAGCTCACTAAGGTTCCATGATTGTGGCTCGTGGGGAAAAGCGTTGTGGTCTATACTAGACTACGACCTCTACCTATGTTGATATGGTGAATGTCGTTGAGAGCAATAGCTCTTCAACATTATGGCATGAGAGGCTTAGCCACATTAGCGAGAAAGGACTAAATGTCCTGGCCAAGATGAAATTGTTGTCAAATTTTGAAAGTGCAAAATTAGAAAAATGTGAGCACTGCTTGGCTGGAAAACAAAAAAGAGTTTCTTTCCAATCTCATCCTCCTTCAAGAAAGACAGAGTTGCTTGAGTTAGTGCATTCAAACTTATGTGGTCCAATGAAGACAAGGACTTTGGGTGGTGCACTTTATTTTGCTACCTTTATTGATGATTGCTCAAGGAAACTTTGGGTCTACATCTTGAAGACTAAAGACCAAGTGTTGGGTGTCTTTAAGCAGTTTCAGGCTTCAATTGAAAGAGAAACTGGAAAGAAGCTGAAGTGTATTCGTACTGATAACGGTGGTGAATATTGTGGACCGTTTGATGAATATTGCAAGGAACAGGGTATCAGACACCAGAAGACTCCTCCTAAGACTCCTCAGCTTAATCGTTTAGCAGAAAGGATGAACATGACCTTGATGGAAAGAGTCGGATGTTTGCTTTCTGAAGTAAAGTTGCCGAATTCCGTTTGGGGTGAGGCTTTGTTGACCGCCGCACATATTATTAATCTATCCCCTGCGGTTGCTTTGCAAAGTGATGTTCCAAATAGAGTTTGGTATTGCAAGGATGTTTCCTATGACCACTTGAAAGTGTTCGGTTGCAAAGCTTTTGTACATGTGCCTAAAGATGAGAGGTCAAAATTAACTGCCAAGACAAGGCAGTGCATCTTCATTGGTTATGGCCTTGATGAGTTTGGTTACGGGCTATATGATCCAATTGAGAAGAAGGTCGTGAGAAGCAGTGATGTTATCTTCGTGGAGGATCAAACCATTGAAGATATTAACAAAGCGGAGAAGCTAAAATCTCTAAGTTCTGAAGGTTTAGTTAATCTTGATCAAGTTCCTCATACAAATGCGGATGACGTTGGTGGGATCAATGATGATGGTGATGCCCAGAACCATATTCCAGATCAGCATATTGATGGTGATGGTCATAACAATACTAATGTTGATGAGGTAGATANTCGCACTATCTACAACTGAAGCGGAGTATATTGCGGCTACTGAAGCTGGCAAAGAGATGATATGACTAAAGAGATTTNTATTCCTACTCACGAAGCTGTGGACGAGCTAGATATTCCACTCAGGAGGTCCTCTAGACCTCGTACTCCTTCTTCCTATTATTCACCCAATGAGTATGTATTACTCATTGATGGGGGAGAACCTGAATGTTATGTGGAGGCCATAGAGGATGAGCACAAGGATCAATGGATTGAAGCCATGCAAGATGAGATGAAATCTCTGCATGAGAACCATACTTATGAGTTGGTGAAATTGCCTAAGGGCATGAGAGCTTTGAAAAACAAGTGGGTGTTCAAAGTTAAAGTTGAAAAACATAGTTTGAAGCCCAGATACAAAGCTAGNTGAAGAACATAGTTTGAAGCCCAGATACAAAGCTAGATTGGTTGTCAAGGGATTTGGTCAAAGGAAAGGTATTGACTTTGACGAAATATTTTCTCCTATCGTGAAAATGTCCTCTATTCGGGCAGTTCTTGGTTTGACTGCCAGTCTTGATTTGGAGATTGAGCAGATGGATGTGAAGACTGTTTTTCTTCACTGTGACTTAGAATAGGATATTTATATGGAACAACCTGAAGGCTTCAAGGTAAAAGGTAAAGAAAATCTTGTATGCAAACTTAAGAAGAGTCTATATGGATTGAAGCAAGCTCCCAGACAGTGGTACAAGAAGTTTAAGTCTATTATGGGGGAGCAAGGCTACCAGAAGACTTCTTCAGATCACTGTGTATTTGTACAAAGGTTTCCTGATGACGATTTTATCATCCTCTTGCTATATGTGGATGATATGTTGATTGTGGGCAGGAATGCTTCCAAGATTGACGAGTTGAAGAAACAGTTGAATAAGTCTTTTGCAATGAAAGACTTGTGTCACGCTAAGCAGATTTTGGGCATGAGAATTACTCGTTCGAGAATTGAAAGGAAGCTTTACTTGTCACAAGAGAAGTACANAGGAGAAGTACATAGAACGTGTACTGGAGCGCTTCAATATGAAAAGTGCTAAGTTGGTTCGCACACCCCTTCCTGGTCATCTGAAGTTGAGCAAGAAGATGTGTCCAACAACAATGGAGGAAAAAGAGAGAATGGCCAAGATTCCTTATTCCTCTGCTGTCGAAAGTTTGATGTATGCAATGGTATGCACTCGACCAGATATTGCTCATGTAGTCAGTGTTGTTAGCAGATTTCTCGAAAATCCAGGAAAAGAGCATTGGGAAGCTGTAAAGTGGATACTCAGGTATCTAAGAGGAAGCTCACATGAATGCTTATGTTTTGGAGGATTAAATCCAATTTTAAAGGGCTATACAGATTCTGATATGGCAGGTGACCTTGATAATAGAAAATCCACTACTGGAT